GGTGGGTGGACAGATGACTGGGTGGGTGGGTGAGTGGACAGACGGATGAATGGGGGGGTGGATGGGTGGGTGGACAGATGACTGGGTGGGTGGGTAGATGCTACCCGGGCAGTGCGTGGGTGGCAGGCGGCTGGGGAGCTGGACAGGAGACGGAGGTGGATGGATGGAAGAGCAGACTGTGCCCTGGATACACCTCAAGCTGCCAGGGGAGGGCAATCCTGGCCTTTCTGGGAGCCCTGGAGGGTGCCAGGAGAGGGGAGAGCTGCCCACCCAAGATAGCCCTCCTATGGAAACCACCTGTCGCCCCGGGAGAGGGTACCAGGCTGGCGCTGGCAGCTCCCCCCCACTGCCCACCTCGTGGGAGTAAACAACGGCGATGAGCCCGGTGAGCAGGCAGCAGAAGAGCGTCACCAGCACCGACTCCGTCATGTAGTCCTTGGGTGGCGGCCTGTGCTCCACCGGGGCCACCATGGGGCTGCAGTACTGCGTGACAGGAAGGACCTCAGCTCTGCCCCTCCTGGGGACCTTGACCTGCCACCACCACCAGTCTTTCCTTTATTTCCTTTTCTTTTTCTATTTTTTTCTTCCTTTCTTTTCTTCCCTCCCTCCTTCCTTCCTGGGTAAAGTGCTACATTGCCCAGGCTGGGCAACTTGGGATCCTCCTGCCTCAGCCTCTCAGAGTTCTGCGGTCACAGGCATTGGCCAACATACCCTCTCAGTCCTCACCTCAGGTCCAAGGTCCATGAGCCCTCACTAGGGATGCTGCCTCCTTCCTGCTCACCTACCCAAACCCTCTCTACCCCCGGCTGGGCTGCCCTGCACGCCTATGCTGTACCCTCTGCTGGGAGCACCCCTCCTTCTGCCCGAGCTCCTACTCATCCCTCAGAACCCAGCTGCCCTGCCCCAGCTGTGCAGGCGCTCACCGTGGGGAAAGCGAAGGCTCCGGGCGCTGCGGGCGGGAAGAGCGGGCCGGGCGGGAAGAGCGCGGTGGGCGCAGGCGGCAGCAGCACTGGCGGCGGGAAGGGCGCGAAGAGCGCGGGC